AGCGAGGGGCAAAGCCCGGCTCCAGCCCACAGCCTTTTGCCGCTGAAGGGACTGAACCACTCGACTATATGTATTTTTAAAGGACTGTAAGTTTCTGTCCATAAAAACACCTGATTTAATTACACCAATAAAAATTAGTCTCACTCTAAGTTCCCCAAAAGCTGGAAAGAAATAAAATGAATGTCTCCTAAACCACCACAGTGAGTATTTTCTGGACGCTGACGAGCGTATGTCCTCCAGACAGGTGGGTGCACACCTCCGCTGTCACTGGAAGCTGACGTGCTCTGATTTTGGCTGCCCAGTTTGTGGTCCACGTGCCCCTTTCGAATAACCTTCACTGAAGAAAGCAGGCACGTGTGTAACCTATTGTCACGTGGACTCAAATGTCAGAGGTTCCGTCTTGTGAAATACTAGGGAAGACACATGTTGGCCTCCGCCCTTGGTTCTTTTTTTTTTTAAAGGTTTTATTTATTTTTAGAGAGGGAAGGGAGGGAGATAGAGAGAGAAAGAAACATCAATGTGCGGTTGCTGGGGGCCGTGGCCTGCAACCCAGGCATGTACCCTGTCTGGGAATCGAACCTGCGACACTTTGGTCCGCAGCCCAAGCTCAATCCACTGAGCTACGCCAGCCAGGGCTCGCCTTTGGTTCTTGGTGCAGAGTGCCAAGGACCCTTGTGAGTTTCTAAGTGAAAGCAGGGAGGAGAACATTTTTGGTTCGACTGTTCGGTCTTTGACCCCAGTTTCTGACACAGGACTCCGCTGTCCCTTGGATTCTCCTGGGTGACAGGAGTGTCTTTTCTTCTAAAGAGGTGGGCCCAGGGGGGGCTCCTGGCTGGGGGCTGGCCACCACAAACACCAAGACATGATTAGAAATGGGGTTTTCAGCTCCCTCTCCTCTGCATTCTTCAGAGAGGGGAGGGGGCTGGGAATGGAGTTTGTGATCAGTCACGCCTGTGTGGGAGCTTCCCTTAAAATCCCCAAAACATGGGGTCCGGAGAACTTCCATGTGGGTGACCACACCCACAGGGGGAGGGTGACGCACCTGAACTTCACGGAGACAGAATTTTCTACCCAAGGGACTTTCCCAGAACGTGCCTTCTATATGTCTTTAACTGGCTGCTCACCTGTGTCCTTTATTATATCTTTTAATAAACTGGCAAATGTAAGTAAGTGTTTCCGTGAGTTCTGCGAGATGAGCTGGCAAGTTGATAGGACCTGAGGGAGGGTCGTGGGGAATTCTGATTTGCACCAAATCAGACAGAGGTGTGGGTCACCTGGGGACCTACTGCTAGCTGTTGACACCTGAAGTCGGGGACGGTCTCCTGGGACTGAGCCCTTAACTCGCCAGATCTGATGCGACTCCCCTGAGTTAAACGGGAGGGCACCTAGCTGGTGTCCCTGAACGGCTCTGCGTGGGGCAGACACAGAGGTCTGGTGTCCGCAGTGCTGAGCGTGGGAGCCGTGGGAAGGGAGAGGAGACACGCAGGAGGGAGAGCGGGGCTTTCTGACCCAGGTCGTATGCCTCTGGTCCTGTGTGACAGACGACCGTCGTTGAAGAACACGCATGAGCTTTAGATTCTGACAAACTTCACTGCAAAACGAGAACACGTGAGAAACCCTCTCTAATTCTCTCTGTGTAGGACCTGGGAAACTATCAGTGTCTCACCTCTCTTCCCCAGGCTTTCCTCTGATTCTGTTAACCCCCGGGGAGAGGGAAGTTTCAGGACACCCAAGGACTGAGGCCAGTTAGAGACCTTCTTCCCCCATCCAAGACAACACTAGGCAACGGTCACACACTCTCCACACCACTCCCAGCCTTCTGCCCCCGGGGCTGGTGTTTTAAAGCATAGATTTCATTATTATTCAGGTGGGGCGAGGCCCACAGACCAGGAGATGGCTGCCGTTGGAAAAACGGTTTGTTATCACCCACATCGGCCCGAAGGAGGGGGCACACCACATCATAACGGGGCCGTACTGGGAAGCACCAGGTGGGTCAGGAGGCAGAGAGAGGAGCAGGAGCCTGCACTGTGGTTTCCGCAGGAGGCAATAGGTGAGGAAGGCTGAGAGGCTCAGAACTGGCTGGTCTGGATGGCGTCAGCAGGCTCTCAGGTGTAGGGAGGGTGCCGGTTGCGTGGCGCCTGCCCTGGCGTGATGAGGGTGTGGGAATCAGCCTGGAGTGTGAGAGTCCCGTGAGAGCCCAGTGAGGGAGGCGTGTGGGGCGGGGTTTGTGTGTGAAAGGAGCACGTGCAGGGGGTCTTCTGTTGTCCCTAGACATCGGCTAGCCCCAGGTGTGCACACTCTGGGGGTCAGCCAGGCCCCAAGATGACAAAGCATCAGGAAACAGAGGGGGTGGAGGAGCCGAGCAAAACAGAAAAAAGAAGGAAGAACTCAAAAATATATATATATATCATGATTAGTCCCATGGGGCAGTGGCCTTGGCTCTGTCATAGGCTCAGAACAGAGGCTCTGCAAGCTCTGTGGCCTCGAGCAGGTGGCCACTTGGAGGGTACGAGATGTCCTGAGTCCTCGTGCCCGCCCGGGTTGAGGGTCACCAATTTTATACACTGGAAGGGACCCTAAGGAGGCTAGCCATTCGTCTGGCCTGGTTGGTTCTCTGTGTTCACATCATCTAGACCAGAGCAGATTACTGTTTAATGGCCCCTGGAAATGTTTTCCTTTTTCAGGACTGTGGAGAATGGAAATGTGTGAGTGGGCTGGGGGCGGGGGGCGGACAATCTGTGCAGACGGTGAGAGAAAATGCCCCTGTGGTGTGGCCAGAGGGCCAAGGGGAGGGTCTGGGCTGTGAGGTCTGTTCTCTCGGGAACAGGGATAAAGTTTACAGGTCAGGTCTCTCTTACAGCGACTCTGCCATCTTTGATATTTCTGAACATGTCAAACATGCCCCAGCTATTGAAATACAAATGCCACAAAAAATGAATTATTTTCCTTTTTTGTTTGCTGTTATTTCCTTCCCCTAGACTGATGCCTGGCATATAATAGGAGCTCATAGCTTATTCATTAATGTCAGGGATGTGTACTGACTGTCCATCTGTTTAGAGCACCTTTACCCAAGAGAGTCACCTGGCTTGATTCCTCACTTCATTTAGGTCGACTCAGAAGTCACCTCCACAGAGGGGCCTCCCTTAACCACCTCATCTAAAACTGGTTATCTCCATCACTTCTAGCCACTCCTCCTCCTTTACTTTTCCCCTTTGACACTTGTATATTGGTGAGTTTATCACTAGTTTTCCACGGGTAGGTCCGTGGGGACAGAACAGCCATCTCTTGTGGACTGCTGTATGCCCAGCTCCTGGAAGAGTCTGACAGAGTCTGTGCTCAGTAAAGTATGTGTTAAATGGCTGAGTGAAGGAAGGAATGCATGTATACTCCATGGGAAGAGTTAGCCCGGTGCCTGGACATAGAAAGTAAGGGGCAGGATGGGCAAAGGAGGGCAAAGGGAGAAAAAGTGGGACAACTGTAATAGAATAATGATTAAAAAATGATTTAATAAAATATAAATAAAATTTAAAAATAAATAAAAAAGTAAATAAACATAAAAAAAGAAAGTAAGAGATAAATGTTGTGTCACTGCTGATGATGATGAAGAAGAAGAAGATGATGATGACAAGGACATTCAAATGTACTCTGAGGCTGTCACACTCCAGGTTGGCCACTGACAAGGCTCAGTGTAGGTCCTGGTAGGACAGCAAATGTAAAATGCCACTCTCCTGCTCCACTGGCCGTGCCTCCCTGCCACCTGCTCTGAAGAGGCTCCAAAGCACAGTGTGCTTTCACTGTGAGGAGCCAGCTCTGGCTCCTCACTTTCTGTTCTTTGTGGAACTGTGACAAGGCAATAGGGACAGTCCGTATGCTCTCCCAAGCTGTTGCATTAAAACATTTTCAGATCCTTCATACTAATGTGTAAATGACTAACCATGGTGCCATCCTCGTGTCTCACCACATTCCAGCCATGTGGCCTTTTCCCTCTTCTATGATTTTCTACTATCTTCGCTTTTATGCATGCTGTCATCTGCCTAATGTGCCTCCAATCTGCCCTGTTTCCTTCCTAATGATACTCTCACTAGATTCCAGCTCCAGTATCACCTCTTTCTTGAAGTTCAGCCTGAAATCTTCCAGCAGTTTCTTCCTCCCTCTCTTTGGTTTATCATGCTCCCCCACCCCCATCCTTTCCATCAGTCTTTATCAGGAGGTACTGTTCTTACCCAGACCTCTTCCCCCAAGCCAGAGATGAGCTCCTCCAGGTCAGGGGTCCTGCCTATGGTGCCTGGTAATGGGCAGCTCTGACTTGAGCCGGTAGAGGGTGTTTATCCAGCCTGTGGACTTGCCTTATAGACTCCAAGGTTCAAATCCTGCGTCCTCTCCTACTATCTGTGAGACCCTGACAGGTGTCTCACCTCATGGCACAGGTGCCCCACTTGAAATCAGTACAGTGAGGCTCAAACACCACAGACCAAGGGGATGGAAGTATAAAGAGAGGGGTTTGGGGTCTGTCACTTTATGGGGTGACTTGGGATGGGTTGGGAACAGGAAGTCATTCCTTAGATTTTTTATTTTTTGCACTGATATATAGGGTCCTGCTTGTAAGTCCACTGGAACAACACACAGAGAAACCAAACAGTGGTTGAATGTATTTTTGAAAAATGCACAGAACTTTGTTAACTTTGTTAATTCATCAGAAAGTGCACTGCACTGAGATCATCCTTCTGGCTCATTCAAGCTCAAAGACGGCTCTCCCCTGCTCAGACGCACATAGCTCTGCGGGCCATGGGAACATGGAGGGAAACAACTGCTGAAAATCACACCTAAGGAAGTGAGTATAAATCAAACTCCAAAACACAAAACGGAAATTACAAAATCTGCTTAAATAATGTCCCGCATGCTTGTAGCACAAACGTTCATCGTACAGAGAACTTGGAGCTGTACAGTGTCCTGAAGGGCTGGACATGACACCTAATGGACTCTGTTCTCTTTCGGCCTCATTAGCATGGATTACCCTGCACCGTGATGATGAAGAATTTGCAGAGAGAGCCCCAGGCCTCCCCACAGTACTCCACGGCTGTCTTCTGCAGTTTCAAGCCTACGTCCTCCAGACACTCGGGATCACTGGAGCCCAAGGTCTTGGGCTCTGCAGGGCCAGAGAGGGGGTTCTCTTTTACCTTGTCAGGCTCCATAGGAGAGGCCTCGTTGACTGTGCTCTGCTCGCTGGGAGACGGCTCCATGGACCCCTGGCTAGATTTCTTCCTAATTAGAGTAGAGTTCAGCAGCCTGAGATTGGATTCTGGAAATTTCTTTCGTCACATCCTGGTCTTCAGGATGCCCTGGAGTCCCCACAGATGACTTTTTGAGAGCGCAGGCTCCGGCCGATGTGTTTCCAGTAGCTCTTCTTGTTCCACTCCAGGCACGAGGTTGGGTCACCAGTAAAGAAACAGGAAAACTTCTCATCATGTCGGGCGCAGTCAACCTTCAAGATGATGCTCTTCTCCTTCTCAGTCACCAGCCACCTGCAGTCAGCCTGGTCTCGGGTGACAAACATGCCCTTGGTCAGGTGCTTGGGTGGCTGGCGTCTCTGCTCAGTCTGGGGCTTGCCCAGGGTGGTGGCTTTGCCAACGTGTCTATTTTTTACTTCTTGTTTGCCGTCCACCAAGAACACCTGAGCAGCCAGAAGGAGAAAGGAGAGCAGGGTGAGGCTGTGCATCCTCACATCTTCAGTTGGGTGGGAACCTGGGTGACAACAGGCAGGTGAGCCAATGCCGGGCACCCGTTGAGCAGTGCAGGGCTGCAGGCTGACCCTCCCTTCACACTGATGCATGCTGGCTTGCTTAGGAGTGAGATCAAGAAGCCTTCCGGTTCCTGGAATTACTAGACAAGGAGCCTGTCTATTCATATTTCTGCTTGACTGGAGTGTTGGATATCAATATCTTACTACTCTTCATTCTTTCCTTGCCTACTCTCTGACCCTTATTAACTCTCACTCCCTCATTCATGCCCTCCTCTTCTCCTGCATTTGCTCACTCACTGATGCCTTTATTCATTCAATCAACAAGTGTTTGTGGGGCACCTACCACATGCCATGCACTACATTAGATGTTAAATGTATCAAGGTAAATAAGAAAGTCTCACATCTTAAAAACTCAGGAGCAACACTTTGGGGAGTCTTAATAGCACTGACCAGGAGTCTGTCTCAGTTGTGTCCTCAACTTTATCTTGGGCAAGTCACCCTCCCCCTCTGGGTCTCAGTTCATTTACCTGAAAATCAAGGTGTTGAATGAGACAACAGCCCACTCTCCTAGAGCTGCAGTGAGCTGGATTTCTAGCTCACATTCTGCATGGACTCAGAAGGCCACGCTATGAGAAAGGACATGATAAGTGACAGGAAAGGTGATGTCTGACTGTCTGACCCAAGGTTAAACATGCACAAGATTTGCACCCTCCGAGATGGGTGGGTTTGTGAGGAGCAGCATCTGGGATGAAGTAAGAGCCCAAGGAAAGGCACGGAGGAGGGGAGATCATCCGATTTGACTGGGCAAAGTGACCCGGGGTGGATAAGGGTGAGTTTCCAGCAGGGCATTTAGACTGTGGTGGCACAGTGCAGGGCATCTACGGTGCTCTTAACCATGCATTTGAGAATAAATCATTGAACAAATAGGATAACCTTAAATGCTACACTAACCTATGTGGATTTTACCAGGTGGTCAACCATACCACGCTTGAAAGGAGAAGAGAAATAGCACTTCTGCACTCCACCAGTATCTGATTCCTGCCTTGTTAATCCGCACAAGAGCCCTCCCTGGCAGCTAAGAGTAAATCTCTCTGGTAGCAGACGTGGCCGTTAAGGCTCAGACCGGCGAATAAGTCGCTCAACATCCCATAAGGGCAAGTGTTGACAAAGCTGGGACAGGGAGCCAGAACTTATCTGTCTGGTCCTTTATACCAACCACCCTTCTTGCCTTCGCCTTACCCTGCCTTTTAAAAATATTGGCAAGAAGTAAAAAAGCAATCATGAGCAGCTCAGGGTTTGGTTTGGTTTCATTCATGATGATAAGATGACTTGTATTATCAGTGCTCCGTTTTAAAAGAAAATACTGAATTTTGATTAAAAAGAGGTTGGCCTAGGAAACGGCCCTGATCTCATTTCCATCCTGGGCGTCGGACCTGACACTAGGATTAAGAAAGGGAAAGACGGTCATAGGCACGAAGGTGGGACGGGAGGCCAGGTGTACCTGATGAAGACCCACTCCTTCCTCACATCACCGGGCTCAGCCCCCGCATGCCCCTGATGGGACCCAGACCCCAAGACCCCGAGGTCCTCAGGGAAGCTGGAAATGGGGCAGACAATCACACCCTTAAGAGAGCCAGGCTCTTACCTTGTTCTGAGTGCGATTCCAGACCCCAGAGTGAGCTTGCAGGCTTGCGGCTGTCTCATCAGCCGTGCAAGACAGGGAGGCCCTTTCTGTAGGAGCCCAGGCAGACGGGGTTTTCACAAGGCGCACACCTGTGTTGCTCTATTCACACTCCCCCCAGCCACGCCCCCTGGGAGGAAGCCAGTTCCCGCAGAGAAAGTGGTTGGTGTAATGCCACGGGGGTGGGCGGGGGGTGGGGCAGGTGCGGGTGCACACAGGGCATTAGACCGCTTCCTCCAAGCCCCTTTACTTCCCCCAGTGGCCAGTTTGAGAGGACAGCTCAGCCTTGTAAAGACCCTCCTTGATGAGACAGGGACCCCAGCAGCAGTACCTCTGGGGAAAGTTGTAAACAATAAAAATAATCACAGCCACTGCTGCCAGACACCGTGCTAGGTCCATTTTACCTAAAGCTCTCCGTTCGTTCTCATCGTATTTATTCCATGATAGGGAAAGTTGTGGCTCATCTCATACAGATGGAACATTAAAGCATGGGGGTGTTCAGGTCCTGGCCAAGGTCACGGAGCTAGGAGGATGAGGAGCCCAGGGTGTAAACCTGGGATTCCCTGCATCCCTTGCCTGATCTTCTCCCACCTTCCACTCTCAGTGTTTGGTGAGTGAGTGAACGAGCTGTGGAAGCTGTCTCAGCTCTGAGTCCCTGTGCTCCGAGGCACCCGAAGAGGAACAGCTGTGTGCTTTGTGTGCGCAGAGGCATCGGGCCACGGCTCGGGACAGCTGGTGGAGAGGGAGTTCCTGATCGGGGAATTTCTGCCGAAAACATCCACCCCCAGTCACACGTGGGAACCGCACCCTGGTCAGCCTTCGACGGGCAGTCTCCTACCAGAATGCTGTCCTGAACACAGCCTTCCCTAACCCCTGCCACAGCGGTCCCGTAAATTCTCTGAACCTCTGTTTGTTCATCTCCAGATCGCTGACCATAACCGTACCTCCTTCAGGGGGTTCGTACTAAATTATTTACGGGGCTGAGCTACTAAAATAAAGCGAAGGAGGACAGATTGGGTTCTCGATGGTGACTCGAGTTGTATTCTTTAAACACAGAGAAGGAGAGTCACTTCCACAAGGAAGATGCGGACTGCACTGTACTCGGTCACCTCTCTTTTTGTGTGTGGGGATAAGAAATTGTACTTCTTTTCTTAACTCAGCCGTAAAGAAAACAATAGTATGTGAATAGTAATAAATGGCAAGCAACCTTGCCTTTGCGAAAAGAAAAATACGGGAGTGGTGGAAAGCGGTGGGGCATAACAGGGGCACAACAGGAAGCCGTGGGCATCACAGGAAGTGGTGGGGACCGTGGCGATCTGGGTCGGTCCTGGCACCTGCGGGTCAGCACTCAGCTCCAGCTGGCTGAGAACATGCGGTGTGGCAGTCAGTATTTTCAGCAGTCATGGGTTTTGTTTTTTTTTTTTGGTATGTACTCATACATTTTTTTATAAAAATGGCGTCTCTTGAAATCCTCTAAAAATGCCATCCTGGCCCACAGTAAAGACACCCGGCTGTCATAACTGTGGTTGGATTCCACTCAGGATGCCCCCATTTGAGAATCCCAAGGTCACAGAATTATGGGTGTGGACTGGTTTACTCAGAGGGTCAAAGGGTCTTTTCACACCTGCCGTCCGAGGGGCCATCTCCCCAGACTCCAGGCCTCTTATACAACTGGCTCATAAAGAGATCCATCCGCATTGTCCTGGCCACCACTCTGCAGAGCCACGAGCTCCCCAAATAGGCACTCACAGCGTGATGCTTTAGAAAATCATTGGGGCGTTTGCAAGATAAAGCCGCTTTGTTCCACAGGGAGAGAGAGATCAAGGTGGCCTCTGAAATAATAAGTTCATCCTGATCCTCATGAGGCAGCCAGATTTTTTCTGGAGGAAGGCTGGAGGTCAGAACACAAAGCACATTTGAAGGGAACAGGTGGCCTCCAGGACCTTTTCTGAGAAGTGTTTCCTTCAGTTTCGTCAGGGAACACAGAACAGCCCCCACCGGCTTCTGGTGGGCCTCATTCAGCCTTCCTGTGATCCCATCCCAACGTCTGTCCCGATCTTTCTATTTTAAACAAGGGCACAGTGTTACACCAGGCTATGTAGATCTTCCCCTGTTGGCTCAGCCTGTCTGTGGGGGAGCTTTGCCCGCAGGGCCCTCCATCTGCCGCAGATGAGAGTAAGTCTATCAGGATATGATCTGCTTGGGGAGGAAAGGTGGCTGTTCTCTAAAAAGGGAAGGACCAAGAGCCTTTTCCTCAATGGGCTGTTATTAGGTTCGTTTTACACAGGAATGCAGGTAAAGCTCATTAATCATGGTCAGGCAGTAAGGATCAAACAATAGATAACATACAAAGAACTATGAGGGCTTATTCTGAGTCAGGGTCTGTTAGCTAAAGGGCTACAATACTTTGGGAAACAAACTCATTTCCTGCTCAGACCCTTAACATTTAATTGAGAGCATTCTTAGCAAAGCAGGTTTCACAGGATTTTATGTATTCTTTCTTAGGCCTGATCACCCTGGGAACCCGCCCTTTCCAGCACAGGGCTGCACCACCCTCTGTCATTGTTTTAGGCTTAAGTCAGGCAGGGGAAGTAAGGCAGCCAAGATGTTAGGAGACTTCTCGAAGACAGAATGAGGACTCAGGCTATGTCAAAGCTGAGGGGTGAGGGCCCATCACCCCCTTTTGCTATAGCCCCCCAAGTCCTTCCCTGGGGCCTCCCCATGCCTGTCTTAGGTCATCCCTCCCTTGAGGAATCTTACCCATCACTGGCTAACTGATCAAGCATTGGGGGCCAGGCAGGGTGAAGTAAAAGGAGCAGAGGCAGTGCTCCTGCCAAGGAGATAAGTTTTGTCCCCTTAGTGGCTTATGGTCTGAAGGTCGCTCACTCAGCCTTAGCCTTGGGGGTGGGTGTTACAGATTCTGAAACCAGGCAGGGCGGTTCCAAATGCCTGTCATTCCACACTCATTTACACACACACACACAGACTCCAATATGGCTGCACTAAGCTACTCACTCACCACTTCCTGAGCATGGTTGCCCACTTCCTGCCTTTGCTCCCTCTGTACCCCATACTTGGAAGGCTCTTCCAGTCCCACTTTGCCCGGCACACACTGGCTCATCCATCAGGGTTCAGCTCAGATATCATCATCTCTCTATCAGTGTCACTGGTCCCCTGACCCACAGCATCTCACCCAGCATCCCCTGTGGGTAACCTCTTACATTGTAATGCCACATTTATAAAATGATTGTACCACTATTGATACAGCATTCCTAAAGTCTACATATTGTTTAGATCTCCTTACTTTTTATTTGATGTTCTTTTTAAAATCATTAATAGACTTTATTTTGAAGAGTAGTTTTTGGTTTCCAGCACAGGTGAGCAGAAAGGACAGAGTTCCCATACATGC